TTGTAACATCCCGACTCCCAGGTACTTCATTGATTTTTTTAAATGAGTGACTCGACGAGTTGGGTGTTCTACTCGTCGAGTAGAGTTGGTTTGAGCACGTGGGTTTAAAGACCGACTCGACGATTCAGGGAGCCGACTCGCCGAGTAGGCGCTGTGAGATGAAAACCTTAATTTCCGGGGTTGGGGCCTATTTAAGAGAACTTATGTTCTCATTTCTGCCTCACCAGCTCCCCAACTCCCCTGTGTTAAACCCTAAACGTTTGTAGTGAGCTAAGAGAGTTATAGAGCTAATCCTTGAGTATTCTAGTGCATCGTTTAAGGAAAATAGGAGATTATCCAGCAAGGAGCAAGGGGAAACTATTGGATCTAGTGCTATTTCGTCCAGAGCTTCTGTGGAAGGTAAAAAGCCTACATCTTTCTCATCTTATTGGTTAGATCTCATAATTATGGAAGTTAGGGCTTTTATCACCTTTTATTGGGACTTTGAGTGCAATGAGCTTATCAGGAGGTCTAGACTTCAGATCTGGACCTTCTGAGGTCCATAGAGTCCAAAGGTCCTAGCTTTATCTAGCCATAAGAGAGTTCTTGTGCTTAAACACCTTATTGGAGCTTGTAGTGGCATTATGCAGCAAATATGCCATGCATGCACATAAAGATTGAAGCTTTACGTGACATTCGAACCTTAGGAGTCTAGATCTAGAGTTTGGAGTAGCAGATCTGCCTTAAAACGTCTGAATGAGAAGTTGACTTAAGGGACTCGACGAGCCGATGAGCTGACTCGACGAGTCGGCTAGGGTTTTCCCCGATGAGTCTGGATATGGGTAACTCGGCGAGTCGACGAGACGACTCGACGAGTTAAGTTGGGTTTTCACGATGTTCTGAGGAACAATGGGGACTCGGAAAGTCACATAGGTGCACTCAGCGAGTCAGGTCAACATGGACAGTTGACTCGGGTGTTGACTTTTGTTGACTTTAGGGTTTGGTCAAGGCAGGAGTTATGGAGACCATGAAGGGGTAAAATGGTCTTTTACCCATCCTAGGAGCTGAAGAGGGACTATCATGAGTTTATTTGGAATTGTGATCTTTAGGTGTTAATTAGAGATGCTTGTTACATGTAGGCTAGATTTGTTGATTCGTGTTCGAGGAGTACACATTTTCTTAGCCTACTTACGAGGTGAGTCTTCTCACTATACTTACCAATAGTGGTATCTTTGAGTGACCGAGGTGCCTTATGTGCTTACTTGTGTGTTGTGATATCCTGCATTATGTCTTTGTGATTTATGTTGAGTATTATTATTATTAGCTTATTGAGTTAGGACCGGAGGGTCCACCCGGGTTGTGGGACCGGAGGGTCTCCACTGAGACACATTGACCGAAGGGTCGTATTGAGTTAGCCTCGAGTGGCTAATGTGAAGTGTGTGGTATTTTGGGGAACTCGCTAAGCTTCGTGCTTACCGTGTTATGTGATATGTGTTTCAGGTACTTCTCGGGATCGCGGGAAGGCGCCGGGTTGATTGTATACACACTTGAGATGGAGTTATGTTTTGTGGATCCTGGATTTTTAATCAAACAATTATGGAGTTGTGTTTTAATAATTTGACAATTGGGATTTGGTGAAATGTGTTTATGAGAATTAAGTGATTTATAAAACGAAAAATTTGTTTGAAAATTTACGGTGTTACACCATCAAACCAACACGTGAATACAAATTTCTAAATCATTGGTAATCTTGTTGTCTTCTCCACCGTAAAAAAAAGATCAAGCTAGTTAGCAGGTTATTTTTTGCCTTTCTTATATCTTCAAAATGTATGCCAAATAATAAGTAAGAACCTACCACTGATGCTCTTTTTAGGCCAACTCTATAATTAGACTAGATTTATGCAGTTCATGCTTCGATTATTGCAGACTACACCTTAATTACAAGTCATTGAGTTGAAACCGTTTTCTCATTCTCTTCTTTATCGGATGATATCTCTTGATTTGATGAAGCTCTATTTCGAACAACTTTGGCATTTAGATTGTGACCAAGTAACTCGACTAAGTTATAATCAAATAACTCACAAAAAATAACTCAACCTAATTTGAACCAATCTCATAAGTATGATAACTTAGTCTGATTCTCTTATGTATTAGGCGAAGCTCTATTTCGAAGAACTTTGACATTAAGATGGAGTTTCACCTGCTCCCGAGGCGAAGCTCTTATGTTACCCACCAATATATTACATAAATTGGTATATATCATTATAAAACAATTTGGCATTTGGAATGTGCATTTGAAATCATAGGCGCCCATTAAATACACTAAAAATAAAAACACTATTCAAAAATGGTTTCCCATGGTTCGCACTACTTTTGTTAGAAAAGGTAGTTCGCAAATTATAAATAGTCCTCAAAATTTCAAAAAAAAAAACCACTTATCGAATTAATTGTTTGTCAAGAAAAAATCTAACTACGTTAAAAAAAAATTAAGAACTTTGAAATGTTAGAAAAAAAGAACATTTTTTCAAACTTGTTTTATATCATAAAAACATATTTCAAATTTTATTTATGAAAATTGACTTATTAAGTTAATTAATTTTTCGGTTTGTTCACATCTCGGTAACTATTTTTTTGTACACGTCTAGGTAGCAAACTTTTTGAAAGCGTTCACATATGACTATTATGACCGACTGTAGCAGGTTACATCCGGTCATAATGGTCATATGTGAACACTTTCAACATATTCATTACCTAGATGTGTACAAAAAAAAGAAGTTACCCTAATATGAACAAAACAAAAAGGTAAGAGTAAATTACACGGGTGGTCATGTGGTTTGGGATAATTTGTGTGTTTGGTCATTAACTTGTTTTTTTTAACTCGGATGGTTCTTATATGTTTAAAAAAATTAATAGACCTCACATATTTGGATCTCCTCACCCTAAACTTGAAACCACATTTGAGAAATTTAATATGGGTCCCACCGGTCACCATCTCATCTCTCATCCTCCTCAACTTCTATTTCCTTTCCATATTTAGTGACATCGACGTCTTCACCATCCCTTCTTTTTTCAGTCCTTCAACTCCGACGAACCAACACCACAACCCACTGTCTCTTCATCGAATTTTCCACCACCACAACCCAATACATCACAATCCTTGCAGGAAAAGAAAACTGATACCGGAAAGAAAAATCGAAGAACCAAATTAATTGAAAACATAACTTGAAATGCAAATCAAAACCTGAAACTCTATTAACAACATTCTAAACTTTAACTCATCAAACGGTGTTTTTTTTTATATTATTGGTCTCAATTTTTAATACTTTTAGTCTCTAGTAAATTTAAAATTCTATATTTAATATCTTTAACAATAAAATTCTATAAAACGACGATGTGTTTTTTTCCATGTCAAATCTAGAGTTTTTTTTTTTTTTTTTTTTTTTTTACCAATGTAGTGTATTTTAAAAAAGATATTTACCGAAATGGCATGGTTTTAAAAATATTTACCATATAGGTTAAATTTTATATCAAATCAAAATTAGAAGGTAAGATAAAAAAGAAAAGAAATTGACTTATCAGGGTGATTAACTTTTTGGTTTGTTTACATGGTTTGTTTACATCTGAGTAACTATTTATTTTTGTACACATCTAGGTAACAAATTTTTTGAAAGTGTTTTCACATATGACCTTTATGACCGGATGTAATCTGCTATAGCCGGTCATAATGGTCATATTTGAATACTTCCAAAAAGTTCGTTAGATAGATGTGTGTAAAAAAATAGTTACCCAGATGTGAACAAACCGAAAAATTAATTACCTTAATAAGTCAATTTCCCTTTTATTTATTCATCTTCGAATATTGGTACTTTAAAATATGGTGGCCATATAACTTTTTTAAAAGAAAATATGGTTATTTTGCGATATAAATTTGCAAAATATAGTTCTTATTCTAAATATTATTAACTTAATAGTATTTAGAAAATATGGTTATTTATCTTAACCAAACAATATTAGGTGTATAGAGCTAGCCTAGCCGTCAAGTTCAAAACATTCTTTGTCAATATTTTTATTCCTTTGCATGTCCATTGATATTTTTGTTTTTTTCGATGTTTTAAAAATCGGTTTTTTAGTTGAACCGGTATGGTGGCCGGCTTCCGTTTTACCGATTCGACCGCCGGGTGAACCGGTTTCTATACTTTTCATGTTTTTTTTTATTTTCCTACACATACGTATTAACGTACATATATAAATTATGAATTTGATGTTTACAATTTCAAAGTTTAAAAATACAAATAAAAATAAGTTGTAGATGAAACAAAATACATTAAAATAACACATAATCATAACTTTTAGTGTTTTACATCAATCCATAAACGTCAAAAAGAAAATGAAATATAATACCGAAATGAAATATAGTTTTAGATGAATACACACACATCAAAAAACTTTATATCATTACCATATGTTTTTATTTAAAGAAAACTAAATAGATTTGAAAAAAATCACCAAAGTTTATTATGTAAATGGTTTTTTTTGATGTGTTTTTATTCGGTTTAACTGGTTCAACCGGTTTATTTTGACCGGCTCAACCAGGTTTTTCTAAAAACCGACCGGTTCAATCCAGTTCAGAAATCAATATAAATCGGTGATAGTTGAACCGCTCCCTCTCCCGGTTCCCGGTCCAACCGGTTCGACCGGCCGGTTCAAACCGGTTTTTAAAACATTGGTTTTTTCATTTACAATTACAAGACTCTCAGTGTACATAGTTAGGAACTTAGGATCCATCACCTCAACTTGTATAGTTCTCTCCTATAAACATTTTTAGAGCAATACAAGTCTTTTTAGTTTTTACCATTTAGTTCATTGAAGTGATCACTGTTTTCCTTACTACTTTATCCTACTTATGAGATTGGTTCAAATTAGGCTGAGTTTTTTGAGGTCTAAATACCGCATGATGAACATCAATATACAATTCCATATTCCATAACATAAAGACTAGAGAAAGATAAGTATGGATTGGACTGTTTAATGGTTTACGCAAAATAATCCCCCATAAATACACTCAATGAATACATAAACACAAATTAAAATAATTTTACAACTTCTTTTTTGAAACCAAATGAAATGCAAAGTGATCCATCCATATAAATTAGTTAATGTAATTCTAGTTTTGTCCATTTTCTTTAACACCAAGACCAATGGGATGAGGCATTTGTTTCTTGAAGTGGATTGGTGTAGATCTAAGCCAACTTCTCCCCCCAATCATGGTCTTATTCACAAAAGGTGCACACTCATCACGTGATAGCTCACGTGACCATCCAACCCTCTTTGATCTATCTGCCCCTGGACCATAACACTTGTATTCTCCATAATACACCGTTCTAAGAAAACAAGATTCACTAATCAATCACATTATTTTAACTTTTTAATGATCAAAATTCAAAAATAGGGCACTTTAAGATAAAGTGTGCACCTTTGTTTGCTTGGATCATCCCAATCAAGCCATCCCTGAGGTGATACTGTGTCTGACATAAAAGTCTGTGCAAATATGACACGTGAGTATGGACCCCATGGCCTTCCGAGAACCGTGCCACCAACCAACCCCGTTATTTTACAACCCACAAATGTTAATCCCGTATTCTCTAAAGGTGAATTTCGATGTTGAGCTGTTATTACTCCAAAACTTTTAGCCACCGAATGTAAATGGCAACCCTGCGACAAATATGACAGGATGATGTGACAAAATATATACTTTTTTGTTACACCAAAAAGTGAAATAAGTAGTATCAATTTGAAAATGTACATTCAAATAGTGGATCATGAACTTACTTCAAAAATAGAAGCAGCATTTCCACAAATGAAATCAACAGCACCTTCGATGTAGCAATTGTTGTAGTAATGTCTACCAGAATCATCAAGCAAAGTGTCTTGGTAAGAGATGATTCGGCACCCATAAAATGCAGCCCGATCTGCTGATACCCTCAATGCAATACCTTTCCCGCTAGTCCCAAATGTGTTCTACAAAATTTGAATCATTATCAGATCAATCGAAACTAGTTTGCAAATGGCGATGTTAAGGTATGAGTGAGATAGAGATTACTTGAATTGTGAGATATCTTGCAATGAAATCAGAAGCCATTACAGACACTGTTGGAGAATCGAATATGTCTCCACCGTCGTTCCATGTGATAATGGTGTTGTTGGCATCCGTACCACTCAAAGTTATGAAGGGTTTATCCGCAGAAACAGCGATTTTCTCTCTGATCAAACCACAAATTCAATCGAATGAAATGTAAATCTAATTGGAAGTGGAGTATGACTACGAAATGAAGTAAGAACGCACCTGTATGTTCCTGGTTTGATCGAAATGTAAATAAGCTCAGAGTTATTAGAAGCAACCGCATCAATGGCTTTCTGTATCGTTGTATAGTCACCTTGTCCTGATTGATCTACAACTATCAAAATCGCATCCGTAGTAGAAGAGGGAACCGCCATTGATGAAAACGATCCGGAGCAAACATTCAGAAGCAAAATCAACGGATAAACGATAACTATATACGTGACGAAGCCCATGTGAATTCAGATCCGATATAGTAACAGTATTAATCAAGCGAAAACAGACCAAACCCACTCCTTTTGGCTAGATTGCAGGCTAATTAAAGGAGTAAAATACTAAAATTTTGAGTTAAAAAGGAATGTCAACTGAAACTTGAGCCGATTTCTTGCAGTTACAGCTGGGTTTTCTCTGAAATTCATGAGTAAATGAATGACGGCGAGGGGAAGATTTTTCTAACCTAATTTTACAAAATTGAATGAAGAAATAAATGATTCGATTGAAATCTACACTACACGCAACTTGATGATGAAGAAGAAGGGTGCGTTGCAAACTTGCAATGCATGTGATGTGGGGGAGTGGGGCGGAGAGAACACGGAACGTGTAATGATTTTGAAAATTGCTTACTTTCCCGCATTCTCGTTGCTGTGTGCCTGCCCTATTTTATGAAACATGCTTCCTCCCGCAAACAGTAAATTACAAAATTTGTTAACTCCCAAAAATAGGGGTATGCCAAATGGACTGAAAAACGGTCTGGAACCGTTTAGTTGAATCAAGAGGACCGAGAACCGGATCGGATAGCCTATAAAAGTGTCGGTATCGGTATCGGTATCGGTATCAGTATCAGTATCAGTATCAGTATCAGTATCAGTATCAATATCAATATCAATATCAGTATCAGTATCCGTGTCGGTGTCGGTGTCGGTGTCGGTGTCAGACTTGGTCCCGATTTCCGGTTAATTACCCGGTTGGAACAGGTACAAGCACCTATGCAGTAAGTACAAGTTGCTAAGGGTCATTGTCTTAAACGATATAGTCGATGAAAATGGTGTCCATTTTGTGATACTACCCATGTCAATTTGGATCTTAAAATACCATGGCTAACCTCTAAAATCATACTTACAAATACTATGTGATGGGTGTTTTGAGTGATTGTTGTGATTTAGAGGAATTATAATCAAATAATCATTAAAGTTATTGACAATCAGGTTAATTTATAACTTTGTTTCAATAATTGGTGTTGCATCAATCTATTACCTGTTTACCAAATATAATTATTTAATAATTAGATTTTTTTTTTCAAACTGATTATTACACATAGAAAACAGGATAAAGGATTAAATGCAAGAAAGGTACTCAAATTTATGTGTTTGCTATATATAACATTCTATTTTCATACCAAATCAATTAAAGAGCATACTTGAGTTTCATCAAGATCTTTAACCCAATTATCAACTAATTCTTTAATTTTTTGATCAACAGGGCTTAATTTATATTTAAAGATGAACAATTTTGAAGTTGTTTTGATGTCCACAGTGTCGTCAATTATTTATTTAATTATTATTTTTTTGTAGAGAGAGAGAGAGGAGAGGAGCAATTTTTTTTATTGTGATTTGAAACTGGAATAAGATAGGATTATGATCAGATTAGGAAGTGATTTTGGCTCTTCAAATTCCAGGTTGGTCCTCGTTATTTATCCGGAACTACTAATACCGAATTGGTTTGGAACTGAAACCGATTAAACCACATATGAAGAACCAATAATCAGCCCATCTTATCATAAGTAGTCCCGGTCCAGACGGGTTCAATCTAGTCAAACGCTCACCTCTACCCAAAAGGCATTAACTATGTTCTAGGCATTTGGAAGGGTTTCAACAAATTCAAAAACTTAATTTGATTAAGATGCTAAATTAAATGGTCTTCAATCAAAGCTGTTTTTTTTTAATCATATTGTATGAATATCATTTAATCATTCAATTATTTTTGTAGACAATAAAAATATGTTCAAACGTAGTACTGCACATAGTAACAGGCGGTGAGGCTTGGTGGAACCACGAGGGTGCAGTAACAACACTCCAACCGATTGTAGTGCGTTACAGTGAGGTCCCATGCAGTGGAAACTCATCACATTCCCATATTTATTTTCTAGCTGTTGAATTATATATATACTAGGCGGATGTCCGCGCGTTGCGCAGAAACACCTATATAGTGGAAATATTTACAAATATGTGTTTTTTTAAATATGACAATAACATTGTTGTTAAATTTGATATAATAATTCGTATACTAAATTGATATAATATATTGATTATTTTGAATTATATGATAATATATACATCTATTATAACTGTATAATCTCAACCGTTTGAATGACTTCTACCCGCGAGTTACTCATGAATAAAATTAAATATAATATATTTTAATGTTATTTATACTTTTTGTTATTGTTAATTAATTTTTTAAAATTTATTTTCTTAACATTTTAATTTCTATCATTATAATTATTTAAAACATTAGACATTGTTTTTTGATTTCAAATGTAACAATATAATCATTTATATAGAGTTATTTTTAACTATTGTTATTGTAAGTTATTTTAAGCTACTTATTTGAAAACGTTTAACGATTATACAAATATGTTTAGGAAATATTTTAGTTAAATTGATATTATAATTTAGTTGTTTGCATTTAGCACTACAATTTATCGCTTTTAACTATTCACAAAATATTCAATGGGTTTTTTAAGTTGAACTGAAATTTATATTTAAGTTGACACTATAATGTTATATTTAAATTAACAACTTAAGTATTTTGTCCAAACTGTTCCAAAGTTGTAGCTTTAAATTGATAATGGTTTACATACAACAACATATTAAATCTAATAAATTAAGTATAATATTTTAAAAGTTAAAGACATAACTTTATAAGTAGAAGTAAATATATTATTTTAATATTGAAATTTAGTTTATTTATGATTACACTTTAGGTTTGATATTTATTTAACCTTATTAACCAAATTATAATTATTATTAGAAATACACTACAATTTATCACTTTTAACTATTTACAAAATATTATTTGGGTTGTTTAAGTTAAACTAAAATTTATATTTAAGTTGGTCCTGTAATGTTATATTTAAGTTTATAATTTAAATATTTTATACAAACTGTTCAAAAGTTGTAGCTTTAAAATGTTAATGGTTTACATCCAACAATATATTAAAACTAATAAATTAAGTATAATATGTAAAAAGTTAAAAAAAACATAACTTTATAAGTAGAGAGTAAATATATTCTTTTAATATTGAAATTTAGTTTATATATGATTACACTTTAGGTTTGATATTTATTTA